CATCTCACCATCGACAACATCTCACATCCGAGAAAAAACGTTTGAAAAGCCATGCAGCACTGCAGGGTTGAGGGGTGATATTGAGTTGCTGGGGAGGTTGATCCTGCCTTAGCAGCAATCAATCAAGAATCGCTCATAATTATAGAAAAAAATAACCGTCCGTACCACATCCATTAAAATCATTAAGGGAAAAAAGTGATGATCTGATCTCTAATCCCCAGAAACAGGTTTGCAAAATATATTTTTAAGTATTGAAGGGAGCTCAGATAAAATCATGAGTTAAGGTGTATTTGACCCTGCCGGGACTATGCTACCTCAAATATTGGAGTAAATAACCCCACCCTATAGGAGTGGCTAGCTGATGTGCCGTGAGTTGAGGAAGAACCAATAGCAATTTGAAGTCTGAGACCAAGTAAAGCACTGTGCAATGATGACCTCGCAAGAAAACTGCTGAAGTAGGGTGGCAATTGTGAGCAGGATACCACATATGACATTCTTACTGTAGTGAGTTCAACTGAGTCGCAGATGTATACCTGGAGGCAACACATGTATTTAACTCCAACACACGGGGTAACTTCCCCTTAACAGAATAACAACCTATGGTGGTGACCACCAGACTAACTACACTAATTATAACGTAACTAGCTACTACAGACCGGGACCACAACTCGGGTCCAGGTCCACGTGTTGGAGACTCGTTGAGTGGAGAACGTAGAACGTTGACGAAGGTTTCTTCAGGATGAACAACAACACCGGTCTCTCTGGGGACCCGGCTTATATTCTCTCCGGCGTGGCTGGCACCGCCCTTGGCCATGACCACCTTCCAGAATCCTCGAGCAGGATCTGGATCCCAACCACGTGACCACCCCTAGCCACCACTTTGGGCCTCTTTGGACACTTAACCGGTCAGGTGTCCTCTCGGGTCAACCAGAGTGGCATGGCCTTTTGCAACCTCATTCCTACGGCCGGCACTCCCACACATTGTCCTAAAGGGTTGGCACTGCACGCCAAGCGTGGTGTCATCTCGCGCTATCAATCAGCACTCACCAGGCCCCTCTAGGGCTGGTACTATACCCACACCATTGTGGTGTCCGCGATGTCGTTACACCACACGCCATGCCTCTCTAGGGCCGGCACTGCACAGTGACATCCCACGATGTCACGACATTACAATCGTCTGATTCACAGCATGAGTTTCATAGGATTGGAAGGATGCGATGTAGGTTTAATAAAGATAACCTCACTGATTGCAACCAAAGCTGAGGCAACTCCCTTATTAGTGTGAGCCTAGAATTGGCCTCACCAAGCATGACGAGGAAAGGCTTGAAGAGCTCCAAAGTAGTTTCAGACTGGGGAGGTCCTGCACAGATGCCATATTCTCTATCCATCGGATACAGCAGAGGTGTGGGGAATTTTAACAAGACCTTTTATTCCTGCTTTAATGACCTGGTCTTGGCCTGTGATACCACCAATTGGCTAGAGATCTGAGTAAATGTGTATGCTTTCTGTATCTTAACCCTTTGCTCATATTCATTAAGGACCATCATGATGGTGGGAATGCCGAGGAAAAGAGTGAGAACCATTTCATGTTCACCTTGGGGTGCGACAGAGATGTCATCTGGTCCCTGCAACAATTTAACATGTTTTTTACCATGTAATTTAAGACGATTTCTATCTCTATACCAGAGGAAGCTCCGTCTGGTACAAATACAATGAGAGGCTGATTTTTATGCATACTGATGTTTGCGTAATTGCTGCTCCCTCTGAAAAGGCCTGGTGGGAGTTGGGGGGCGAGGGCAGGGCACAGCAGTGGGATGGTCAAGGAAAAAGAGATGGGTATTAATGGAGGATTGGAAGCAGGTTGTGAATGTGATTGTTTTATGTGCAGTTAGTTTCAGTGAAGGGTATGAAGAAGGGAAAGGTATGGGAGCGTGACTGGGTGCAGGGTGAGAGAGACAGAGGGGGATAGTTGAGATTGGGAGCATAGAGGGAGGGATAGGACATCGTAAGATATGAGGTAAGCAAGATAACGTGGGGCAAGACAATGGAGGGGTTTATAAACTAGAGTGAGAAATTGAAATAGATGGTGACCGTAGACAGGGAACCAGTTGAGTTGGCAAAGTAGAGCAGAAATGTGGGAATTGTCGGGGAGGCTAAAATTATACAGGATGCGGCATTTTGTAACTGTTGGAGAGGAGTGAAGGTGTAGGCATGAAGGCCAAGGAAAAGAGAATTGCAATAAAACGAAGGAGTGAATCATAATCTTTATTGGTCCTTGATCACTCCAGCTATGAAGCTCTTTTCACAGATGTTTAGTAGGAGTTTAGCAGCAGAGAGCGACATGGGTAGACGGATTTTACGAATATTGAACAGGTGAAAGTGGCAAGTGGGGTAGTGGCAGAGATGTGGCCAATCAATCCATGCAGGGCTTTGAGTCCTCTCGGCCACAGTTATGCCCTCCCTTACTCTTTGGGTCTTTCGGTAAAGTCACGTAGATAGAAGAAAAAAGAAGAAGAAAATCACGACGTTTTGATCGCAACGAAAGCTTTAAGTCAAGATTATGCCCTCCCTTCTCTATGCTAATGAAATGTGGATCCCTTCAAAGAAAAATCTGCACTGGCTTATACATTTAGGCTTTAATCAGACTAGATTGTTTGAGAAGCTCACATATCCTTGAGATATCTGGGCACAGTTACATCAGTGAGCTCCTCCAGAGGATAAGGCTGCGCTGGTGGGGTCATGTAGCCCGCATGCCCAGCCACCACATGCCCAAGCTGCTTCTGTTTGGCCGGGCAGATGAGGATAAATGGGCACAGCTTGGGCTGGAAAGGACATGAACTGATATGGTACTGGAGGATCTGAAGCTGAGTGGACTTGTCAACAACTGGTGCCAGAAATATCAAGATCGGCCTCTTTGAAGGAGGCACACAGAAGATGCTAACAATAAGTTTGAGGCAGTCACCCAGCAACAACAATGCAGGCAGAGAATACTACTGGTTGATACAGTCGGGAGCACAGGCAGTGCATCTGTCAGTCATCTCAGTCAGTTATTTATGACACCTCCTGTAGGGTTGACCCGTGACCTTCTAGTGAGAGTGCCCCTACCCTGGCACAAGCACGTGGTATCATCACCACATAGTGATGGATGGCGACTGGTGTTCTCTTTCGGAATTTGTCTGCATGGTTTCCTCCAGGTTAGCCAAACATCCCGATGTATCAGGACCATTTTAGAAGTGTGTATTCAGATGCAGTGTATCACGGGTACACTTGAATCTTATTCACTGTTGTGATAAACTGTAGGGCTGTGCCTTCTCTCTGTGTGAGCTGGTGGATGAAGGGAGTTTCCTGAACTTGAGATAATTGTTGCTCGACTGGTTGGCCAATCTTTTGATGCACGACTGAATCAGCAGCTCATTTCAACCAAATCTTAACAGAACTATTTAAATGTAGCGCCATTATAAAAGCGCTACGTGAAAGTTAGCATGTAGGTTGAGTTGCAGTTAAGCCAAGGTAACCCCCCCTGGGTATCTCGTGACCGGAGGGGTGGACCCCGACTAGGGGCGGAGTGAGCCCCGACTCGGGTATAAAAGCCGGTGCTCTCAAAGGGACCGGCAGTTGTCGCCCACTCGAAGAACTGAAGCCCATGGGGGAATCAGACACGCTGGCCGGATATCGGGTGGAAGGGGCCGTACCCGGGACAACTGTTATTGCTTTTATTGTTAATAAACGTGTTGCCTCCAAGAGGAAGTCTCATACAAGTTTGTACCCACTACATAAACATGCGAGAAGACGGATCTGGAGGAGATACATGGCAGAGGCTTGGTGGATAAAAGCTCTGGAGGCAGTTCAGTGCAGAGCCACTAAGCATAAACTTCTCCCAGCTCGTCCAATACCAACCACCATCAGCAGGAGTGAGCTGAACAGTGAACCCAGCTGTAAGTGCAGGTAACTCGCGCATTTTTTTATCTCATTAAATTAATAACTTTTAAAACGTAATGAATATTATTTCCACATGGATGATGGCCACGGGATTTTTCCCTGTGCAAGTTTCTTATCCAGGTCGAGGCAGTGGTAGAAACCCGAGGCGACTAAGAGCAGCGTTTTGGGGGAACCAAAGGGTGTGGGTAGGAGAAAGGATCCAGCCTAGGCCTCTCATCCCTCCTCACAGCGATAGCCAGCATGAGGCCACAGTGCTGTTCTCCAATCTGAATTGTTGTGAAGAAAATGCATTATACAGCTATGCTGAGTCTGTGTTTGTTGTATGTGTAATGTAATCTGAGACAACTTCACTGCATTTAGCATCTGGGTGACCAGGAGTGTGGAAGGTCAAACTAAACTATTTTCTATTTTACCACGTAATGCCCACTTAGCTATATAGCTTTTTTCAGAAGGGACATGACCACAAATGATAGCTCAAAGAAGTGGCTTATTGTGTGGAACTTCATAGCAGCCAAATACTTTCTGGGTATGTTTATAAATGTGGAGGGTAAATCCGGAGGACCCTTAGAAAAATCCATGCGAAAACATGAAACTCCAAATATACAGGGTTCAGGGTTGGGATTGAACCCACGACTTCTTGTATACCAGGCGAGGAAGGTAACATTTCGCCACCGTTAAGCTGTCTTATATATGAATAAATTGGTGTTGCGTAGGTAAACTCTTTAATGTCATGGTATGGCTGAGTTTCCCATAGTTTTAAGCAGAGCTATGCAAGCAAAGAGTAAAACTGCTCAAATCCCTAAAAAAGCTTCCACGTTGCTTTGTTGTACCCTTACGTGTCCTCGCGTGTGCCACGCTGCCAATTTCCCTGCACCGTACTTTGCCGTGGTGAGAAAAATCAGTGAATGGTGCTGGAAACGGACCAGCCACCACGCAGTCCATCTTTCTTCGATAAGTAATTTATATTTGTCACTGGGCTGAGATTTTTCAAGGTGTTAGACGTGACGTCTTGAAAAACATAGGCGGTAATGTGTGGTCTCTGCAGTGAATGGGTAACTCACACGATGCAGTGGGCAGCAGTCAGCACCCAATCACTGTTGAGGAGGACGCCTCCGCACGTGTGGTCGAGAACATCAGGACGTTCGGGATGCCATGCGGTCGCGAGTGAGATCTGCAATGACATTAAAACATACGTGAGAAGCTGTTTCATATCACAAAAGCACAGACGGCATTTATTTGTCTGTCAGAATGATGTGCAGTACGATACAGTATAGATTGATTTCACCCTTGCTGTGTTCAGCCACCAGACTGCTGGGTAGAGCAGCAAGGGCCCAGGGAAACCACGTGGTGCATCTCTCGCCTTCCAGAGAGATCCGTTTTTACGAATGATCCCGTTTATCCAGTTTCTTGGATATTTTCCGTAGAGATTCATAGAGACTCATAGGGATACATTGAGTCTCATAAAGATACACCGAGACTCATAGATATGCATAGAGCCCACAAAGATCAATAGAAATACATACAGATTAAGTATTGAATTGATTTGATTGTTTACATGGGTGGTCCTGTTTAGCCAGTTCCTGGCAATTTTGCACGGGAGATCCGTGGTGCGTGAGTACAGCAGCAATAACAAAACAAAGGCAAAACACATAAATAATCCTTACGAATTATTTCTCAATACACGAGGAATGTAACGGTCATAAACCAAAAAAATATACCAACATAAACGAGTGAAAATATGATAGCAAGAGGCCACAAAAAAGTTAAGCATAGGTGCAATATAGCTCTGCGCTTTGGTTTAATCTGGAAGTAAAGAGGGGGAGTGAAGGGAGGGGTACCGAGCTGTACATGAGCGGCAAGGCAATTCCAGAATCGTGGAGCAGCAACACGGACAGACTCTTTTAGCAAACAAAATTTTAAGAAATCGAATGTTTAGTAGGGATAAGGAGGTACTTCTGATGTTACAGGAAGGAGTTAAATGAACTCAGTGGTCCTTTAGGTAATTTGTGGATTTGTTAACGAGGACCAGTAGGGTGTAGACCAGGGGTGGGCAAACCTTTTCACTCGCGGGCCACAATGGGTTCTAATATTTGACAGAGGGGCCGGGCCAGGAACAGAACTAATATAAATGACATGTAAAAATCATTACATGAAAGGATTTGGCCTGTAACAGGTAGCAAAGTATTTATTTGCAAGGAAATTTAACAAATTGCACGAACATGAACAATACAAAAACATGTCGTAACGTGACTGATGAAACATCATGAAAACATCTGAGGCCTGCGCCCAAGCCAATTATCTCACTTGCACTTCTTTATTATCTACATTAACAGGTTAAAGCAGCCAACGCAGGCTGTGTGATGGAGATTTGGCTCCAACCTCGCTGCAGCAACAGATCATCACTTTCAGTTTCAGTGGGAACAGTGTTGTTGATCTCCCATTTTTGCCAGTGCATCCAAGTCTGGAGTTATTTTGGTTGTGGCAATTCTCAGGATAGATCTGAGGTGCTGATCCGTTAACTTTGATCTGTGACGGGCTTTGTTGGCGTTCATGACGCTCACACACATAAGTCGAGCCAAACAAAGTCAGTATCTTCTGTGCAGTCCTCCGGAGGTTTGGAAACGTGGCTCTGTTAAGTGAAGCATCAAAGTCATTCAGTTTAACAGAGTTGAACTTCTCCGTTAGGACGGAGTCAGACTGAATATCTATCAGTTCCAACTGCCGCTCATGTGGTGCTGTTTCAGGGTCTTGTGACAGGGGACAGGACATCAGCTGAAGTGACTGTTCAATTTTGATTTATACTTTAGTTGTTTATGTAGTTTATACTTTAGTTTTCTACGTGGTTGTTTAGTAACTGCAGCTACATACTATTAACATTCCTTTCCTTTGTTAATGCTACCCCCCTTCCCCCTCCCTTTGATGCTGCTAATCCTGCATAATGCACGGGCATAATATATATATTTTTTACGACGTAGAATTGTAATGTATTACTTACTGTTAGTAACTCAGCTTATAGTAGAGTATAGTAAGTATACTGATGATGCTATGTAGTTTATACTTTAGTTGTTTATGTAGTTTATACTTTAGTTTTCTACGTGGTTGTTTAGTAACTGCAGTTACATACTATTAACATTCCTTTCCTTTGTTAATGCTAACCCCTTCCCCCTCCCTTTGGTGCTGCTAATCCTGCATAATGCACGGGTATAATGTTAATTTGAACCCCCCCCCGCCCACCTCCCACGCATTTTCCATATGCTAAATTCCTCTTGATATGCAAATTATTTTGTCAAGGCGCTCTTCTTCCCACCTCCCCCCCTCCAAACCAGCTTAAATATACGCTCCAAGCTTGGTGGTGTTTCATTCTTCACCTGAGGACGGCTGCTTGCGTTGTGGCCGAAACGTCGTGAGAATTATTTTATTTTATTATGTTTTATTTTTATTATTTTATTACTTCCCCTTCTACGTGACTTTACCGAAAGAACCAAGAAGATGACTGTTCAATGTTTTCGAAATCAGAGAACCTACGGAAGAATTCTCCGTGCAGGTCCTCAAGCGATTTGCTGTATTTTTTTTGCGTTTCGCGGTGTCTCTTCTTGCATGGCAAGTGTGGGGAAATGAGCGAAAAATTAGTTCGCAATTTGTCCGGAGAACAAAGTGAGCTTGGATTTGAAGGCTTTCACATGTTTGTACATGTCGTGAACAAACTGATCTTTCCCCTGCAGTTTCACATTCAGCTCATTCATGTGTGAAAATATGTCCACAGCAAACGCAAAGTCACTAAGCCAATTCTTGTCGCTTAGCTCAGGGAATTCGTCAGATTTCCCCATCAACTCCAAAAATGCGATGATGTCCTCTTTCAGCTCCCACACTCGTTGTAACACTTTCCCCAAACTTAACCAGCGGACACGAGAGTGGTACAGCAAGTCCTGATGATCCGCATCCGTTTCCTCCAGGAACGTAATAAACTGACGGTGCTGAAGTCCCCTTGCTCGTATAAAGTTCACACGTAATACGACTGGATTCACGACATGATTAAGCTGCAATACAGACTTACACAGGGATTCCTGATGGATGATGCAGTGAAGGAAAATAAAATCCTGGACAGGGTTTTCCTCTTTCACTTTATCCTGGATTCTTTAGAGCAGCCCAACATTTTTTCCAGTTAAATTTGGCAATCCATCCGTTGAGACATTGACAAGTTTACTCCGAGGTAGCGTCATTATTTCAATGACAGCAGATACCTGGTTATACAAGTCCTCTCCCCGCGTTGTTCCTTTCAGGGACTCTATGGTCAAAAACTCCTCTGTTATCGCAAAACTGTCAATGCCTCGGATAAAAATGAGGAGCTGAGCAGCGTATTTTACGTCCGTACTTTCATCCAGTGCTAGTGAATATAATTCAAAGGAATCAGACTTTTTGTTTAATTGACTGGCTATGTTTTTATCAATCAGTTCCACACGGCGAGTCACAGTCCTGCGTGATGAACTGACTTTTTCAAATTTGTTTTTGATCTCCGGAAACAAGATGTCTGCTGTCTGTACCATGTATTCTTTTACAAACTTGCCTTCGGAGAAAGTGGTAATGAGTGGTAATGTTAGTGAGAAGAAGTTTTAAAGAAAATTTAAATCGAAGTGAAGGAAATTTTTGAAAAGTTTGCATAATTAATGATTTTTCAAACTTTAATGATGTTCTCTGTGCTTAAAACTCTTAAAAAAAACTGTGGGGTCTAGAACAGACTCGTGAAATTCGGAGAGAACTCGGAGTTAAGTTTTGTTTGTTTTGTTGAATTACACAAAGTGCGCCATCTAATGGGGAAATGGGGGCATTACAGGAGAAAGGTAACATTTAATTTAATAATAATATTTGGACAAGTTCGGCGGGCCGGATTAAAAAGCCCAACGGGCCGTATACACCCCGCGTGCCGTACTTTGCCCATGTCTGGTTTAGACAGACCAGTGATGGTCTCCCCAGATATCCAGGGTGGACAAATTTGAATTAACGTCGAGGTTGTAATGTTGATTTCCATAGGGGGCGTCAAGGGGCACAAATGGAGAGTGGAGCTGCTTTTGTCTCTCCAGTCTGTGGTAGGATCAGCTCCTGGGGCGTGGACTACACCGGTTAGCTCATCATCACTCTAGCCATTTGAGACTGGTACCTGCAATAAATATCTATTACAGGACCCTGAAAAAAAATTGAGTATGGATAGCCGATTTCGGGATGAAAACGCAGAATAACATCAGGGACGTTGACGTTGTAAGAGTGAATGTGACAATATTGGACAAATTCAAGTCAATGGGGGTGCTCATAGGTAGTTTGATGTTTTTTAACTGCTTGAGTGTCTTTCAACACAAGCAGTGTGAAAAGCATTCAATTACCATATCAGACCACACGCGCAATTTTTATCTGATTTCATGTTGCAATGACACTAGCAAGTAGCAGAGAAGGATCGCAGATAAACTGCTGTAATATTTCGATTTAAAGCTTTCGTGACTGCAGGGATTCATCTTCTTGGTTCTTTCGGTAAAGTCACGTAGAAGGGAAGTAATAAAATAATAAAAATAAAACATAATAAAACAATTCTCACGACGTTTCGGCCACAACGCAAGCAGCCGTCCTCAGGTGAAAAAACCAGGTCCGTCGAGGCGACAGAGTCTGAATGAAACAGCACACTAGCTTGGAGCATATATATAAGCTGGGCGCCTTGACAAAGGAATTTGCATATCAAGAGGAATTTAGCATATTTATGGGAAATGCAGGAATGTGATTAGAACTACATATGTATGTGCATTATGCAGGATTAACAGCATCAAAGGGAGCTGCAGGTACTGCTGCTGCTGCAGTTGCTGCAACTGCAGCAGCAGCAACTGCAGCAGCAGCAGCAGCAACTGCAGCAGCAGCAGAATCTGCAGCAGCAGCAGAAACTGCAGCAGCAGCAGAAACTGCAACAGCAGCAGAAACTGCAGCAGCAGCAGCAGCAACTGCAGCAGCAGCAGTACCTGCAGCTCCCTTTGATGCTGTTAATCCTGCATAATGCACATACATATGTAGTACTAATCACATTCCTGCATTTCCCATAAATATGCTAAATTCCTCTTGATATGCAAATTCCTTTGTCAAGGCGCCCAGCTTATATATATGCTCCAAGCTCGTGTGCTGTTTCATTCAGACTCTGTCGCCTCGACGGACCTGGTTTTTTCACCTGAGGACGGCTGCTTGCGTTGTGGCCGAAACGTCGTGAGAATTGTTTTATTATGTTTTATTTTTATTATTTTATTACTTCCCTTCTACGTGACTTTACCGAAAGAACCAAGAAGATGCTGTAATATTATAAAGGATCAACACAATTTGGTTCCGAGTTGTTACGCAGTCACCAAAGCAATTACCTTATTAACATATCTCACCTCATGTATGATAATCTAACATTTCCATGAAGTACACCTAATTGTACTTGTTTCATCACGTTATACTTCCATATATAAAATGAGATATTGTAAAATAAAATAACATAATGAATGCAATTACATTAACCTCTTAGCATCAATTCCTAACACTCCATGCTCCCTTGTGGACGAACATTAATGACGTCACACTGTCTCTTGAAGGTCCAAGATTGGAGGACTTTTCCACAGTTCTGGCTTCATGACATTGTTGTGACAAGCAGTAATAAAATTACACTACTGTTCACGTGATAACTGTATTTGTTTCTTGTGTTGGGTGGAGGAGGGTTTATAACACACACGTACTTATGAATCATAACATTGGTCGTGAAAGCCAAAGTGTTAAATTCATACAGATGATCTTATAGCAAAAATACATTAAACTCACTTGCTCATGCCACCCTCTAACTCACCCACCTGTTCACTGACCCACTCCCTCACAAACCTTCTGCTATTTCGCTTGCACTCCTCTTTGGAACTCCCTCCTATCATTGTCTCTGTTCCCAAGCGCTTATAATAACAACCTTGCTCAATACAAAAAAAAAACTCGCTCACGTTGCTGTTTGTTGCTGACCCCTTGACATGTTGGGACTTTGTGCCTGTGCTCAGCAGCTGTGTTTATAACAAGAGGAAGAAGTACTGCATCTGCATGATGTGTACACGTGTACAACACAAGCGGCTGTGAGACCCAGCTTAAACCATGCATTGCGTTTAGTGCCGCAAAGACTTTAAAGAAGCTTTGATTAAAATGCAATGAAGTGTTAACTTTTTAGCTCAGTCTGTCTGTCTTTAATGGGGGGTTGCGATACATCTCGAAACTATAAACAAAACTCGAGTATGAAGTTTAAATTGCGACGATGAACTTACCCTAGAGAAATTAGGTCCCTTTGCTCACAGAATTATTTACGAAAAACTTGGCGACGAGAAACCAGCACTAAAAGTATTCACCTTGTAAAGGTTAGCACGCAGAACCTGCCATCCACGGGCCATCAATTCGATTCCATCTCCTGGCGTGGCACTTTAAACAATGGTGCCACTCACAATCAGTGCATTTATTACAAAAATTACACTGGCATCGGTTATGGGTTCCTGATATTGGGAAACGGTAAATTATCCTTAAAATAATTTCTGATTTACACTGTTATTGGAATTTAACGTGTAAAACATACGATAGCATTTAACTAGGGTGGCTTGTCGGATTTGAACCCTCTGGACCTCCGTAATAAGTGGCAAATGCAGTACCACTCACTGGGCCATGTCACCACCCTGCACACCGGAGGTTTAGTTGATGTACTCTCACCTGCCAGGGCCAGCTGTTGGGTGCCGCCTCATCACCATTGACGATGCGGCCCTGCTGGAGGTTAATTTTGATTCCTTGAAGCTTCAGGTTGTGCCGTAACGCAGTTCCATCCTCCTGGGCTGAGATAAAACCTGGGACACGGAGACAGCAACGCGATATTAATATCATAATTCAGAATGTGTTACCCGCTTTTTGTATTAAGAAAGGGATATTTAGAGGTGCGGAGAACAACATACAAGTGGGAAGAGCAGCCAGTGCCGACGGTAATAATTATATAATTTCTCAAGCTCTGTGGTCCAATATTGGTATGTTGTACCAACTCCTTAAATTCGTGTTTCTACATTTGGGAGGAAACTGGAGTGCCCGGAGAAAACCAATGAGTGTGGGAAGGGTAACACTCAATCTCCAACAATTTCCCAAGCTGTGATCCTATATTGAGATGTTTCGCCAACTCTAAGTATAAAAGTGTTTATGCATTGGTGTGAATCAAAATTCCATTGCGTACGTATGTTTATGTCTATGTGTGTGTATGTCTAGTGGGGAGTGGGAATGTAGTGGTTAGCGCACTGCGCTACAAACCCGGCGATCCCAGTTCGATTCTCGTTCACGGCCAACACCAGTGACGATTATCTGAACCGGTCATGGACCTACCCTAGGTCGACTCAGCCTAAAATGAGTACCTGGTGCGTAGTGTAAACATCGCCACTCGGGAGCCAAATGCGACCGTGCATGGTGCTGACCACCCACCCCCTCATGTGCCGTTCTGACCTTCATAGGTGCTCGCTAAGTGCACTTGCCCCAACAGTCTGTTTAGGCTATACGAGGGCTCTTTGCCTTTGTATGTCTGTGAGTCGGGAGTGGTAGGATAGTGGCTAGCGCAATGTGCTACGAACCTGGCGACCCAATTTTGGTTGCCTCTCAAGGCCAACACCAGTACTTGGTGCGGTGTCTAAACGTCACCACTTGGGATAGAAAGTCGGCCGGGCGTAGTGCTGGCCACCCGCCCCCTCGTGTGCCGTGCCGGCCTCCATAGGTGTTCACTAAAACACTTACTCCAATAGCCTGTTACAGGCTATATGGAGGAATCTTTGTCATTGTGAGTGTCTGTTTGTCTGCGTGTAAGTTGGTTTGAGTCTTTCTGTGTGTTCGTGTCGTTTGTATCTATAAGTTTGAGAAATTAAGTGATGTGTGAGTGTCTGTAAGTGTATGTGCAAATTGCTTAGTATACAGTGAGGGAAAAAAGTATTTGATCCCCTGCTGATTTTGTACATTTGCCCACTAACAAAGAAATTATTAGTCTATAATTTTAATGGTAGGTTTATTTGAACAGTGAGAGATAGAATAATAACAACAAAATCCAGAAAAACGCATGTCAAAAATGTTATAAATTGATTTGCATTTTAATGAGGGAAACAAGTATTTGACCCCCTCTCAATCAGAAAGATTTCTGGCTCCCAGGTGTCTTTTATACAGGCAACGAGCTGAGATTAGGAGCACACTCTTAAAGGGAGTGCTCCTAATCTCAGCTTGTTACCTGTATAAAAAACACCTGTTCACAGAAGCAATCAATCAATCAGATTCCAAACTCTCCACCATGGCCAAAGACCAAAGAGCTCTCCAAGGATGTCAGGGACAAGATTGTAGACCTACACAAGGCTGGAATGGGCTACAAGACCATCGCCAAGCAGCTTGGTGAGAAGGTGACAACAGTTGGTGCAATTATTCGCAAATGGAAGAAACACAAAAGAACTGTCAATCTCCCTCGGCATGGGGCTCCATGCAAGATCTCACCTCGTGGAGTTGCAATGATCATGAGAACGGTGAGGAATCAGCCCAGAACTACACGGGAGGATCTTGTCAATGATCTCAAGGCAGCTAGGACCATAGTCACCAAGAAAACAGTTGGTAACACACTACGCCGTGAAGGACTGAAATCCTGCAGCGCCTGCAAGGTCCCTCTGCTCAAGAAAGCACATATACATGCCCGTCTGAAGTTTGCCAATGAACATCTGAATGATTCAGAGGACAACTGGGTGAATGTTTTGTAGTCTGATGAGACCAAAGTGGAGCTCTTTGGCATCAACTCAACTCGCCGTGTTTGGAGGAGGAGAAATGCTGCCTATGACCCAAAGAACACCATCCCCACGGTCAAACATGGAAGTGGAAACATTATGCTTTGGGGGTGTTTTTCTGCTAAGGGGACAGGAAAACTTCACCGCATCAAAGGGACGATGGACGGGGCCATGTACCGTAAAATATTGTGTGAGAACCTCCTTCCCTCAGCCAGGGCATTGAAAATGGGTCGTGGATGGGTATTCCAGCATGACAATGACCCAAATCACACGGCCAAGGCAATAAAGGAGTGGCTCAAGAAGAAGCACATTAAGGTCCTGGAGTGGCCTAGCCAGTCTCCAGACCTTAATCCCATAGAAAATCTGTGGAGGGAGCTGAAGGTTCGAGTTGCCAAACGTCAGCCTCGAAACCTTAATGACTTGAAGAAGATCTGCAAAGAGGAGTGGGACAAATCCCTCCTGAGATGTGTGCAAACCTGGTGGCCAACTACAAGAAACGTCTGACCTCTGTGATTGCCAACAAGGCTTTTGCCACCAAGTACTAAGTCATTTTTGTAGAGGGGTCAAATACTTATTTCCCTCATTAAAATGCAAATCAATTTATAACATTTTGACATGCGTTTTCCTGGATTTTTGTTGTTATTCTGTCTCTCAATGTTCAAATAAACCTACCATTAAAATTATAGACTGATCATTTCTTTGTCAGTGGGCAAACGTACAAAATCAGCAGGGGATCAACTACTTTTTTCCCTCACTGTGTATATGACAGAGTGAATGTGTGTGATCGCGTTTGAATCTGTCTGTGTGCGTGTATTCTTTGTGTGCATATGTCTGGGGGAGAGCGATAGAGTATCGGTTAGAACTCCGTGTTATGAAGCGGAATTCGATTTCCCTCTCACGGGTAACACCAGTAAGGCTATATTATAACGATTGTATTTGTCTGTGTGAGTCTGTGAGTCTGCGAGATACTCACCCTCACTGAGTAGCAGCACCAGCAGGAGACTGAGGATTTTCACCGTGCACATCTTTGCTGAGGTCTCTGGGTTTTCGTGTCTGTCCACTACCACCGAATGCGCTGCTATTTAAACCCCTGGACTCCTTCTCCTCTCACCTCCTCTAATATCACTCAATACCCCCTGTCACAACGCTCTCAGCGTCCACCCCCATCTCCGACATCCTTTCATTGCATGTGTTTATGAATTTGCATACTGCATGAGCACATTGCCTCGTGCAGTGTTATTATGCAGATAATACTGAATTCAGATCCGTATAGCCATACATTATGTGCGTGTCCTCGTGTTTTACAATAGTGGGTGGATTTCCTTCCTGATTCCGACTGATTTGGGTTGTTTTACATGGTGCTTCCACGGATCGGTGGTGGTGCAATCGCAACCTTCCCTCATTGTTTGTCCTGAGCTCGACAAATACAAACATAGCTGCATCATGGTTACCCATTCACGTCAAAGCAATTTCATTTATTTAACGCAAGATGCAACATGTTACACGTTTACATTTAGGTCAATGAGTTGTATAGATTCACACTCTTGAAGTTCCAGCAATATATTGTTTTCATGAAAATTACTTATTTGTTTTCCAAATGTCAAAAAGCTTTAGTTATACATTTTTTTAGTGAGAGCGAGAAGTTGTTCATGTCAAATTGTGGTGGACAAGGCATATCAGATAGATACTCTGAAGGTAAAGCAAATATATTAGATTCTCTCAGGTGAACCTGTTCGGCATACTCTTAGGTTTTTTCGGTAAAGTAACGTAGGTAATTCTAGATTTGAAGCTTTCGTGACTGCAATGATTCATATTCTTAGGTTTTTTTTCGGTAAAGTCACGTAGGTAAAAACATTAAAAAATAAAATAAAAAAATCACGACGTTTCGGAGGCAACACAAGCTTCCGTCTTCAGGTGGTACCGTCACAGCCACGACAGCTGTATCAAGTAAATGAGAGATTGCAGGAGTTACCACTGCGTCCAACCATTATATAATCGCAGTGGTAACTCCTGCAATCTCTCATTCACTTGATACAGCTGTCGTGGCTGTGACGTTACCACCTGAAGACGGAAGCTTGTGTTGCCTCCGGAAGGTCGTGATTTTTATTTTTATTTTATTTTACTTTTTAATGTTTTTACCTACGCGACTTTACCGAAAAAACCTAAGAATATAACGTAGGTAAAATATAAAATAAAAGTAAAATAATAATAGATGAAAATAAATACATTTTCATCTATTATTATTATTTTATTTTTATTTATTTACATGACTTTACCGAAAACAACCTAAGAGTATGAATCCTTGCAGTCACGAAAGCTTCAAATCTAGAACTGTTTGGCATATTTGAAGAGATCGTTTTCAATGTTAGCGATTTGTTAAAGGATAACCTCCAATAAAAAAATATATACATATTTATTATATAAGTTAGGCAGACATGTGGTTTTAGACTTTTGGGGTAGAAAGGAGAATAGGTTGTGCAAAATGTTCATCTTTATGCCTGAATTAAGTGTAAATACCACAATCCTACACATGAAAAAACAGTGACATAGAACGACCTCAAACTGCCTAGTGTATGAGCTGTAAGTTTTTTCGAGTTTTTTTCATGCCCGTTTGTGTCAGCAGCTCTCCCCTGCATTGCTTTTCTGTCACAGTGTGGCCGCGTGGGGGAGTGTTGCCACACTGGGTAGCGCACCACAATCGGGATCCAATGACCTAAGCTTAATTTGCATCCCACTTGCAGCTAAAATTAGTTTCCAAAGATATCTGAACATGACAACGCGGCTAAATCAATTTGACGATATTTGATTGAAAAAAATTTGCACACTCCTCTATTTCCGATTTCCTAAGTAACTTCTCAAAAAGAGCAGTGTATTAAATTCAAGAGTTATGTTTACTTACGATTAGTGAAAGCCACATTAATGTAGTCGAACCTGCCCAGAAAATAGCCATTTTTTGAGACTACAACAGATCACACAAGGCAGTCTCTTTAGTCCTGGAAGATATTTGTTGTCAATAGAAGTGACTCATGATTAGTGGAACACAGCTATAGGTAGTGGTGGCCACGTTAACTAATGGATGCTTTTTTATGCAATGTGAGGTTACCTGTAATTCATGGAGATTACCTTGGTGTTTTGAAGGCCACAAGGGAGTCCTATAGATTAACTATGCAAATTGAAGGCACTTTGAAATTTGTGCACGTTTTCAGCGCGAGAAATTAAATGTCATTTAAGTAAATTTTCCAAATAAGATTTAGAAAATGGATAATCAGACAATACATTAATTCATAGATCTGTATATCTACTAAAGAAATGACAAATAAAGACTTTTGGTAGACCAAAAATAACATTATTCGGAACAAGATACAATTCGCTCAGTCACGAGTCTCTAGAAAATGCACAAATAGGTGTTACTTTTATTTGTATACTTTATATTATTTTACCATAATGCCATTTAAATCTTTGAAAAAAATAAGTGCTTATCTGTCATATGTCAAACGTTACTTTGTGTAGGAAGATAGGGGAAAAGTATTGACTCCTAATACATGGATCAGAGGTCAATTGAAAGTTAGAAAAAATAGTTCTGTGATATTCATTACTGTTGGTTCTTCTCTAAATCGGTGGTTGCATTGCTCTTTGAGAGATCCTCATGAATATTTTTTCTTACAACATGACGCCAATTACACAATAAGGATACAACCGTGATGAATGCTAAACCGTTCATGTTAACTAGAAAAGCAAAAGACATTTCCTCCTCAGCAAATTGAGGCCCACACACATCGCTCACACAGCAGCAACCATGCATGACACTCACGCCAAAACATTGCTTTGTACAAATGTCCGTTCGTGACGATTTGGACCAATGTCAAGAATTTATTTTTTTATGCTGGCAAGGAGAATGACATATGTTTTGTACTGGATAATATCTGCAATCAGTAGAAACATGTTCCATTCATGTGGGTGGAAACTGGTCTGCATGCAAACATTGCTAGCCTTATCCTGTTCAAATCCATTTCCGCATACCATGTTTGTACACTCGATTCAGATTAGCTTCATAGTCAAATCGTTGAGGCTACAACAATCACATACACCAAATATTAAACATAGATCATTACCATTTACTATGAAAACAACTGCTTTCACACACGATGATAGGGCTTTTTAAATTTAGCCAGATCAGCGTATAATGTTTCATTAATACAGGTGGTACAAAGTTTTTCTGTGAAACTGATGAGCGAGACCTTTGTTTCCAAGATGAGGAAGCTTACATTTACCATTTTGGAGGAATCTTTGGTTAGCTTTTAAAGATATATTGGCAGTAATGCTGCCACTTCAAGTCTTTCAACGAGTTACAACTATTATTTGAAGCGATTATTTTCAAGTCGTTTTTTTGTGCGGTCTAAAATATATAACTGGTAACATATATATGGATTCAAAATTTCAAACCAGATCCAAATTAAAAAAAATCCAAATCCTGAAACCCAACGTATTATTTTCTGAAAAGCACCATGAAATTAACGTGGTTGAAATTTAGGGAGGGTGAATAGCACAGTTTATTTCCATTGGTTAATGTTGTGCTAAATTATGGCTTCTTAAAAACACGTGAATATGGAACATTTCAGCCATAAACTTAAAGGCACGGTATTTTTCGATTAAAAGCCTTCGTGACTGCAAGGAATCATCTTCTTAAGCGCAGCCGTCCTCAGGTGACGGCTGCGTGCGTTGTGGCCGAAACATCGTGATAATTATTTTATTATGTTTTATTTTTATTATTTTATTACTTCCCTTCTACGTGACTTTACCGAAAGAACTAAGAAGATGGCACGGTATTTTATTACAAAAAGCACATCCTATTGAATCCCCAATTTAATTCTCGACGACAAGAATACAACTCGTTACATACTGACAGCAAAGTTCATTATATTGATGATTTTTGCTAAGGAATCAAGAAACATGCTGTTTTTCAGTGTGCATGTTTTTATAAAGTAAATCAACAAGTTTTAAATTATTTAGACTTATTAATCCATATCAAGGGAGCTCACATAATCGTTTAATTCCAATTTGCTATCTGTATTGTTTGACAAAAGTATCAACGTGGAAGTCATGTGGAGGAGTTTACCACGTAATTTTGCAGAATAGCACCCTGAAAGAGACGTGGTAATCCAAGTTCCATGGATATGTTTGTGTTCGACTGTGTAGGTGTAGTGGGTTCACAGATGACAGAAATGGTGTGGTCGAGGCACACTATTTTCTTACCTATAAACGTCACTTTTTGTCTGTCTGTCCGTCTGTCCCTCTGTGTACGCTCGCTTGCGAGGGATTTGGCGCTCGGACCGTGTGGTTTAGGACGAAAAAAAATTGCCGGGAGGCACGTCCCGTGCCCCGCGGTGGGAATAGGCATTTCGTTTTTCGTCCGCCACCTTTAAAGCGGTTTAATTATAGATTTAGTGCGATTCCTCTTTATTTATTATTTCCGGCCGGCACGTGACAAAGCACGCCGTTGCGCATGCGCGAGATGCCGACCAGGGCGGTTGCCCCTGGCTGCGGGGTGGACGCCATTTTTTATTCCCGTTTAAAAAATATGCACACGCATTAACACGCGACGCTGAGGTAAATTCATTAAAGTTTCACGTCCTCTTCACTCCCCCCCCACCCCAATGTGTGCAATTACTATTATAGGGTCGGTAGATAATACAATTATAGCGATTAGACAGTATTATTGTAGCGCGGGGAGGGGGGGGTAGCGGCCCCAGCACCCAGCCTCGGCCGAGTGGGCAATCTAGGCGAGGCCGGAGGCTCTGCACGGTACTAGGCCTCGACACCCCACACTTGTCAGGCGAAGACTTTGTGCTATAAACGCGATATACCCAGCGTTGTCCGGGGGAAAGATACATTTAAAATCTTCTGAAAACTTTAAAACATAACATACCAATGAAAATACAACTGTGAAATACAAATTTTAAACCCGACCGCGCCAAGAATCGATTCTCTGAATCGCGCAAAGGAATCGAAGGTTGTAGACTCCTTAAGAATCGGCTTATTCTTGTTAAATATAAGTTGGTTATTGAATTGATATAAACTGCTACGAATGGGAAATATCCGGCGTTG